CCCAGCCCTCCCTGCAATGCTAAAGCTTAGTCTGTCTCTCACAGTCCCTGAACAACATTATTTCCCCTAATGCCCAGCCCTCCCTCCAATACTAAAGCCTAGTCTGTCTCACAGTCCCTGAACCACATTATTTCCCTAATGCCCAGCCCTCCTGCAATGCTAAAGCCCTGGTCTGTCTCACAGTCCCTGAACCACATTATTTCCCTAATGCCAAATGCCGTCCCGGCAATGCTAAAGCCTAATCTGTCTCACAGTCCCTGAACCACATTATTTCTCCTAATGCCCAGCCCTTCCTGCAATGCTAAAGCCTAGTCTGTCTCACAGTCCCGGAACCACATTATTCCCCCTAATGCTCAGCCCTCCCTCCAATGCTAAAGCCTAGTCTGTTTCACAGTCCCTGAACCACATTATTTCCCCTAATGCCACGCCGTCCCGGCAATGCTAAAGCCTAGCTAGACTGTCTCACAGTCCCTGAACCACAATATTTCCCCTAATGCCCAGCCCTCCCTGCAATGCTAAAGCTTAGTCTGTCTCACAGTCCCTGAACCACATTATTTCCCCTACTGCCTAGCCCTCCCTGCAATGCTAACGCCTAGCTAGTCTGTTTCACAGTCCCGGAACCACATTATTCCCCCTAATGCTCAGCCCTCCCTCCAATGCTAAAGCCTAGTCTGTTTCACAGTCCCTGAACCACATTATTTCCCCTAATGCCACGCCGTCCCGGCAATGCTAAAGCCTAGCTAGACTGTCTCACAGTCCCTGAACCACAATATTTCCCCTAATGCCCAGCCCTCCCTGCAATGCTAAAGCTTAGTCTGTCTCACAGTCCCTGAACCACATTATTTCCCCTACTGCCTAGCCCTCCCTGCAATGCTAACGCCTAGCTAGACTGTCTCACAGTCCCTGAACCACAATATTTCCCCTAATGCCGAGCCCTCCCTCCAATGCTAAAGCTTAGTCTGTCTCACAGTCCCTGAACAACATTATTTTCCACTAATGCCCAACCCTCCCTGCAATGCAGTTAGCCTAGTCTGTCTCACAGTCCCTGAACCACATTATTTCCCTAATGCCCAGCCCTCCCTGCAATGCTAAAGCTTAGTCTGTCTCACAGTCCCTGAACAACATTATTTCCCCTAATGCCCAGCCCTCCCTCCAATGCTAAAGCCTAGTCTGTCTCACAGTCCCTGAACCACATTATTTCCCCTAATGCCCAGCCCTCCTGCAATGCTAAAGGCCTAGTCTGTCTCACAGTCCTGAACCACATTATTTCCCCTAATGCCACGCCGTCCCGGCAATGCTAAAGCCTAATCTGTCTCACAGTCCCTGAACCACATTATTTCTCCTAATGCCCAGCCCTTCCTGCAATGCTAAAGCCTAGTCTGTCTCACAGTCCCGGAAGCACATTATTCCCCCTAATGCTCAGCCCTCCCTCCAATGCTAAAGCCTAGTCTGTTTCACAGTCCCTGAACCACATTATTTCCCCTAATGCCACGCCGTCCCGGCAATGCTAAAGCCTAGCTAGACTGTCTCACAGTCCCTGAACCTCAATATTTCCCCTAATGCCCAGCCCTCCCTGCAATGCTAAAGCTTAGTCTGTCTCACAGTCCCTGAACCACATTATTTCCCCTACTGCCTAGCCCTCCCTGCAATGCTAACGCCTAGCTAGACTGTCTCACAGTCCCTGAACCACAATATTTCCCCTAATGCCCAGCCCTCCCTCCAATGCTAAAGCTTAGTCTGTCTCACAGTCCCTGAACAACATTATTTCCACTAATGCCCAACCCTCCCTGCAATGCTGAAGCCTAGTCTGTCTCACAGTCCCTGAACCACATTATTTCCCTAATGCCCAGCCCTCCTGCAATGCTAAAGCTTAGTCTGTCTCACAGTCCCTGAACAACATTATTTCCCCTAATGCCCAGCCCTCCCTGCAATACTAAAGCCTAGTCTGTCTCACAGTCCCTGAACCACATTATTTCCCCTAATGCCCAGCCCTCCCTGCAATGCTAAAGCCTAGTCTGTCTCACAGTCCCTGAACCACATTATTTCCCCTAATGCCACGCCGTCCCGGCAATGCTAAAGCCTAATCTGTCTCACAGTCCCTGAACCACATTATTTCTCCTAATGCCCAGCCCTTCCTGCAATGCTAAAGCCTAGTCTGTCTCACAGTCCCGGAAGCACATTATTCCCCCTAATGCTCAGCCCTCCCTCCAATGCTAAAGCCTAGTCTGTTTCACAGTCCCTGAACCACATTATTTCCCCTAATGCCACGCCGTCCCGGCAATGCTAAAGCCTAGCTAGACTGTCTCACAGTCCCTGAACCACAATATTTCCCCTAATGCCCAGCCCTCCCTGCAATGCTAAAGCTTAATCTGTCTCACAGTCCCTGAACCACATTATTTCCCCTACTGCCTAGCCCTCCCTGCAATGCTAACGCCTAGCTAGACTGTCTCACAGTCCCTGAACCACAATATTTCCCCTAATGCCCAGCCCTCCGTGCAATGCTAAAGCCTAGTCTGTCTCACTTTCCCCGAACCACATTATTTCCCCTAATGCCGCGCCGTCCCGGCAATGCTAAAGCCTAATCTGTCTCACAGTCCCTGAACCACATTATTTCTCCTAATGCCCGTAAATGCTAAACCATAAATGAAGCAAGTCCCTGAATCTCCCAACCCCCTGGGACTCATTTTCAATTTAAATGGGTTTATTTGTTACCATAAAAATTAAATATATATATTCAGGGACTAAGCGTTAGTCTATGCTAAAGCCCTAGATCGAGCAAGTCAGTATTTACCCACGTACTGAATTTCCCGTTTCACTAGAGCTCCTTTTCAATTTAAATAGTTTTTTTTGTTACAATCAAAATTATTTATATTCAGAGACTAAGCGTTAGTCTAGTAGCACCACTGCACTGAGGGACTCGCTATATGTTTATTTCTTACACAGGATGCATATCTCAAAACACACTCGCGTGATAACCTCTATGAACTAGGACACACATGGTAATATCGTCTTAAACACTCGTTCAAGGCAACTGATATGTACGGTGCTCATTAAATGGATATGTAGTTCATATTTTATGGCAAGGATAATAATCTTTATTATAGATAGTATCGTCTCCTTGGTTTGCTTAGCCCCTACAATGATGACTTTAACTATTTGTGAATATTTCACAGACTTTCCTGTATATCAGTGCTGAATGTGACGTATATGCTATAACAATGGGTAAATCTTCACGCTTTATTGGTCACATATATACGCCAATGAATTTGAATTAAAAATATTAAAAAGAATATATAGCCTAATTTCTGTAACAGTTTATACTGTTTATTCAGTGTCGCCCATCCCCTGATGCAGAATACACACTCACATACACCCAGACACGTGTTGACATTTACATGCTTCTATCAAATACGAAACATCTACCCACACAAGAGTCTAGTTTACATCAGCAGCATCGAATTCCACTGGCGTAAAAAAACTCGTGAAGATCCGGGTTAGAATTGATCTTCAGTAACCCATGTTTGTCGTGAGAGGCGACTAATGGGATCTGGTGGTCAAACTCGCTGACATGATTGACACGTCATCGTATCCCAACTGCGTAGATAGATGTTCATGCTGTTGATCACTGGATGTTCTGGCCCAGACTCGATTATTTACAGACCGCCGCCATATAGCTGGAATATTGCTGAGTGCGGTGTAAAACTAAACTCACTCACTCACTGGCGTAAAAGACATACAGGTTAAAGGCAGAATATTCCAAAAATACATCAATTAGCATGTTATCTTTTTCTGGGCGAATTGGGGTCCGGTGCTAGGTGTGATGCACTGTGTCAGATGATGTCCCGCTGGATAACTTCTATTCCATGAAAACAACGGTTTGATTGGTTCAGACTCGACTAATTAACGATTGTCGTCATAAAAGTGATGGTTGTTGACTGGACCTTTGAACAACTTTCTCTGATTCTGAATCAAGTCGTCGACAGAGCTGTGTATGTTTATGGAATCGTTTAACAAAATTCATCATGTCGACAAATACGTCCCATATAATGAAAGGTTGTCATACAAAACTCTGCTATGAGAATTGACTTGAACTAAATAGCATCGACCTACACGGTTTAACGTCCCAAAAGCTAATATCCGTGTAACTGATTTATTAAATAAATAAAACAGACATGCATTATTTGTTCCTGGTTGTGTTTGATTATAGTAGAGTTATGTCCGTCGACCACGTGAAATACATGTATAATACACAGTCACAGATGTCACTTTAGTCTGCCATACTGACCCAGAAACAAATACACCCAGTGCAGCCCATGCAAGTATAGAATGTGTGGCAAGTTTAGATAATCAGACTTCAAGTCTGTGGGCTCTTTTCTATTGTATTTTTAAACATTATTAAAACCTTTTTTCTGTAAAATGTAACTAGATGTTAGTCTAATGTCGCTTATAAAACTAGTGAGAGGTGAATGGTCACACGGACATCACAGCTATAGTTTCAAAGGTTGAAAATATATGTTTCCAGAATACGTATCTCATTGCCTCGCCATTTAAAACTGTGCATCTCGGCTAACCGGACAACCGGATCGGGATTTAATCGTCACAAACTCCTTCCGGGTCTGGAAACTCTCGTGTACTTGATGTAAAGAGCAGACAAGTGTCTACGTGCATTGGTGAGGGAGAAATGGAGGTCTTACAGAAACCACTGTTATTCATTTTCATCCTTGTATTGTTTGCCAGCATCTGCACCTCACACCAACCAATGTTTGAGAGTCTACGCTTCGAAATAGACGCATTTTCTGAAAGAAGAATGAAAGGTGCGTTTGAGAGTTCGCTGAAGGTTTGGATTATTTCAATTCGAAACTGGAGTATATCAACAGCGGCTTGAACACTACCCTGGACCGGCTACAAGAGAAATCAGGCGAGATTGAAGATAAACTTAACACTGGTCTCAATATTTCCCACGCTCAAGTCGAAGAAGCGGAGCGACTTTCTGAAAATTCGTTTCCAAAGACTAGAGAGTGAAATGCACGGTATGCAGAAGGACGCCGCCTCGGTACACGCAGGGATAACCATAACACAAGGTCGGTGATAAAAACAAATTGGGTAACGTCATTGTTGTAAACACGAGAAGAACGTACCATCCCGCCCTCCTAACATGAAACACATGTAAGTGAGAACACGGGGAAGTGAAGGGGATAAGGATGATATGGCAAGAATATGTTAGTTTAAGATTGTGTGTGGAAGGGGGAAGGGGGGGGGGATGAGGAGGTGCGGAGTGTAGACAGTTGCCTCAAATAAATGCGGTATATATTTTAACATTCTGTATGGACATTGAGTGGGTGGGGGACCAGTTACACTGCCCTGCCACGTAACCCCATAACGGACATACAGGGTTTCAGTAGAGTTTATGTTACATGATATTAGTTTCAGCATACGTCTTTTTAATAACTGAGGCGTTTCAAAAGCACACATTGGGTATGTGTGGTGGAGTTTTCGTGAGAGGATATAGTCTTTCCGATACCTGGTGTCGAAACTGATTTTCAGTTGAAACATCTTTGACCAATTGCCTTTTACTTCCAACAGAATCTGCTGAAGCTTATAATCTGAATAATCTTGATTTGTTTATAGTTTGACAGATAAAAAGAAAAACTTGTTATGGGGAAGGAGTATAGAACATAATGCTGTTCTCAGCAATATCATGGTAATGCCAATAACAGTGAATGGTATTTTCACAGTTTAACTATGTGGGCCATTGAGTGCAGCTTGTATCCCTAATTCACTACTCTTGATATTTATTGGACGATAAGTGAGGTTCTGATGGTGATAATGGCTTAATTGTGTTTTTGTCAAGTAGTCGGAATGTTTGGATCTGCGACGTTAAATGCTTTTCACTAACGTAGAAAATTATACGACGGTTTTTCAGTAAAATACTGATGGAATGCCCCTGCCTATTCTTTGGAACATAGCAAGATGCGGTGCTACTTGTGATGGCCACTGCGTCGTATTCCGTGAAGATCCGGGATAGAATGGTACACAGAATACCGGATACCTACCAGCCATATTGTTTAGTGTCACCTAACCATAATGCTAACGCTAACCTTAATCCTAACCCTAACCCTTACCCTATCCCTAACCTTTACCCTAACCCTAAGTAAACTCGCGTGTTTTCAAAGATGGCGGAAGGTATCCGGTATTCTGTAGTCTTACCGATAGAATTGCTGAGTGCGGCATAAAACTACAAATAAACAAACAAAGTCATTTTAAATGGCTTAACACTTCGTCAGTTGTACCAGATGTAGACACTGTGGGCTGTAGCGATATATGTCGAGCAGCCAGGGTTAAGAACAGTTATATCCTGGTACACATGTCTTGCGATGTGGTCTCGGCGTGGAACGTTATACATTTAAGTGATCAGTTCCGTCCGTGTATCTGATATTGTGCAGTAATCTATACTAAGTAACAAGGTTTATGAAAGAGGATGTAGATTGAAAACCATAAACTGTTGTATCACAAATGTAAAACACTCCCTTCGACATGAAGTGGCTCGGTGCTTATTTAAGGAAGGATAGATCACGATGATCCAACAGCACAGAGTTTCACACAGCTGTGGAAACCATTAAACCATACGGAAGTGAATGTTGGTTTCCGCAACAGTCAGAACAAATCAGCATAGGTTTCGGCGGTTCATAAGTTATCGAATATGGACCATATATACCAGTGTCTGAGGCACAAGAAACGAACCACACCACCGTATTAAGTCGATACGTTACCAGCGCTGAGCCTCTCTTCAATCGGCTCTTATGACGACCATGCGTTAATGCCGACCTGCTTGAAACGTGAAACACCAATGGATGACAAAGCATGAAATATTTGGTAGATGAAAACAATTAATCATAGCATTAAATTTGAAGCTGCTAGCTTAAATACTTCGAGTTATCCGAATCTCGACACAACCGTAAAATGATTATTGGGACCACATTATTTTAATGATATATGAGTGAGTGAGTGAGTTAAAATTTTACATCGCATCGGCAATATTACAGCCAAGGTACTACAAGGTAATTAATTTAAATAGCTGTCGGCAAAGGACAGTAAAACAACTAGAATATCACAGATATAAATGTAAAATTAGCAATTAAATCTAAAACATTTCAACTATAAAAGATAACACAATATAAAAAATAGGCTATAGATCACCAACAACTGAAGGTAGATCACCATACCAGGGACCATGGGGACTTACAGTACCTTGCTACCTGCATGGACCCTAGTTGGATTTACACCATCCCTTCAGCTGCCGGCGATTGTAAGAAATGTTAGCCAAAATTAAAATAACAAGAATACTACGTTTAAAAATCCTGGTAAGTTTAAATTGACTTGAAAATGTTGGGCTGGTACGTACCCTCTCAGGAGGACATTAATTTTACAATACTTTAACCCCTTGAGGGCACAGCCGCTAACAATCTGCGTTATTAATTTATACTTCCAATCATAAAATATTTATCTATTTACAAATCAGTTAACAAATCCAATTCTTTTTAAAATGCAATAATTAAATGAGAACTTATATTATTAAAAGATCTTTCATAGTTCGTGATTTGAAGTAGATATCCCTTGTGATGGAATATTCAACACAGTCAAGCAAGACAAGTCATGTAATTTGTTAATACCTACTTGGGTGTCTCACTTCTTTTGCATCAGATCACGGATATAGGTTTTAATGCCAGCTCTGTAATCAGAGTATGGAATAAGAAGTGGCGTCACAGAATTATTGAGTGCTGTCTTGGCAGCAAGATCAGCCATTGTATTCCCAGAATTTCTGGAATAAGTGGCTTGCTGCCAAGACAGGTAATAATTCTGTGACAAAGACAATGTCGCATTGGCCAGAAGCAAGCTCCGTTATACAATTCAATAATTTCTAATAAAAGTGGATGTTTACAAGGAAGATTTTTAATAGCCTGAAGACACGCAAAGAATCGGAAAAGATTATGTATTGTTTATATTTACGGTGTTTATTAGTTTATTTTTGTATGTATTATATTTATTCTTTAATTGATTATTTGATTATATCTCTTGTTTATATTGTAATTCATTAATTTTAAATTTCTTAAACTTTGTCAGAGTTAGGTCAACTTCAGGCCTCACCAGTTGCCAAGGAGGAGAAGAAAACAAACGGAAGGAGATATATTTTCCAGCTCAATGCCGGCATCAGAAATTAATGGTTTAATTCTTAGCCCCAAAGAGGCCGAGCAAGAGAAGATTTTGTTGTATAAATCCCCATAAAGAGGATTGAAAACACAGTTAAATGCAGGACTAAATTCGTTAGAATAGAGTTTTGTTATATACTGTAATGATAATTTGATACGACGTTGGTTAAGGGAGCCTCAAGATAGAGACTATCAATAGGAGAGGTTCTAAAGGACCCAAGACAAAGTCTTAGGTCTTGGTGGTGGACAGCATCAAGTAGTTTTAGGTTGCTTTTGCAGGCTCCACCATATACGATGGAGCCATAATCATCAAATTTCGGGCGGATCAATGATCGATATAGGTGGAGGAGGGTAGCTTCATGCCCTCCCCACTTTGAGTTGGAAACAACTTTCAACAAATCAAGGGCCTTCAGGCATTTAGCTTTAAGGGATTTAATATGCGGCAAAAAAGTTAAATCGGAGTCGAAAATGAGGACCAAGAACTTGGCCTCCTTGACAACTTTGATCGGAGTGCCATTTAAAGATAGTTCTGGGTCTTTATGCGGCTTATATTTTCTACAGAAGTGTAGACAATTAGTTTTGTTTTCAAGACACCATTTCTTTATTTTATGTAACCACAACTGCAGTTGCCGTTCAATAGTATGCATTTTTACCACGACAAGAAATATTAAAATTATCATCAAAAAGTTATCCGTCAAGTGAATCGTTTAAAACCTTGGAAAACTGTTGATCTTGATACTAAATAAAGTGACAGACAAAATACTGCCTTGAGGGACACCCTGATCCTCTGCCAAACTACCTCTGCGCTCGGTGTTGACGTCAGAATCGATGCCGAGACGGATGTTATCTAGCTGCCTGCACTGTCTCGAGTCACCGGGGACGACATTGTACTGCCTGTCTTGATGATCTGCTCCTTGAGGTTGTCCAGGGTAGCGGAGGCTGCTGAGGTTATGGAGCATCACACAGTACAGAATGTTGGAGTCAATGGCTGACGTATTGACTTGGCACAGCATTCTGAGAAGACAACATAATTTACAGGACAGAATGCCGAAAGCGTTCTTGACGATTCTTCGTGTCCGTGACAGTCAATAGTTGAAGACACGTTCTTGTCTGCTAATCTGACGTCTTGAGTATGGTTTCATCAGCCTAGTTCGCAGGGGTAGGCATCGCAAACGATGATTAGGTACGGTACTTCTTCCTCGCTACCGGGAGGTTTTCAGATGCAGGGACTTCCACCGTCCTCCAGCAGGTTTCTGAGGTCAGAAGAGCTGGCCATCCGAGAAATAGCCCTTGTAGTTGTAGAACAGCGACCCAGACTTCCTCGGGCACCTGATGCGCACGTGTTTCCCATCCACAGCTCCGAAGGCGTGGGGCATGTTCCATTTTCTAGGAAGCCGTCAGCAATTACTTTCCTCTGTTCAGGAGTAATGCATGGAGCCATGACTTCGGATGAGTATACGTTTATGATGGCCTCTGAGACTTGTGGCACGAATGGTGTTCTTGGCGACTCTGAAGAAGTATTGCAGGTCCAAGTAGCTGTTCCCCGTAGCGAGGTGGCGAAGAGTAGCAGCATTCTTCAAGCCTGGGTCGAGTGTTTTCCTGAAAGCAGAGGCAGTTACAGAAACTCGAAAACGTTACGTACATGATAATTATTACTGGAGTATAATGTATAACAGTAAATGCCGTTTCTGCAATAACAAGACTAGTCTTAGCTCAAGTCAAGCAAATATGGATGAGTAAGAAATAAACATAGAAAGTATACCATGATAATTTGCATTTACTGAGAGCTGAAAAATAGAAAAAGTAAAATTATGTCGTTTTCTCAATGATCAGTCATCTAACTGTATAAACAACAAGTCGATGCCGCTAAAATG